GTAACACGACCAACGATAATGGCAACACAACTGTGGACTATCAGATAATGGCAACACAACTGTGGACTATAAGTTGAGATCTCGGCACTCACATGCGGAGTCTGCCAGAAAGATGAAACTGGCAAACCTACAAAGTGTTCAGCTCGAAAACTAAGATTATAGTCCATGTCGTGCTCTCGCCATGGCAATGAAACAAGGAAAACCAAACCGAATGGGACGTATTGAAGTGGGAGCATCCATGCGAAATAGGCACGTGAGAATATGCCCCCATGGGCTTCTCGGATTTTGTCTGTTTTGGAGATGGCATATGGACAAGGAGTGCTCCCTGATTTTCTACGTCTGAAACTTGGTTTCTTCTCAAGCTGTTAAAGGCAGGTAAGAAATTCAACAGTCGAGATGTCTTACAAAGCTCACCTCGAAGCTATGACAAATCTGCTCAACCATAGTGGTTTACGAAGCCGACCAAAAGCTCACGTCGGCAGAGATGCTGGTTCTGGGATGGCGAATCTGGGTGGTGCAAGTGAGGCCCAAATTAGACGGCTTGGTCACTGGAATACACAGGCATGGAAAAGTGCTATTTGATTTAGCTCCCTCGCGAGACCGTGAAAACTTTAGCCGGATTTGAACCTAGAAGAGAAAGGTTTTTCTTAGGACGTGCGACTTTGGACCCTCCGGAAATTTACACCAACGTATTTTCCAGGTTAGAGGATTGGAAAATGAAACTTGACTATGGGGAGTGTGAGCTTGAGGATTCATCTGACCGTCAACTTGAAAAGCAGTGCCTATACTCAAATCAAAGTTGGATGGGGTTCACCAAAACTTAAAGCTTTTCGTAGATAAGCTCCAACATGCTATGCATACGGTTGAAAGAGCTCTGCCAACCTGGTGAAGCTAGCTGCTCCTTTGATCGAGGGATCTGTTCACCTTAGGTTCAAGCTTGCACGCGACACCTACACACCAACCCATCCCAGCGCAGAACATTAGCCTTATGCTGGTGAATAACCTCCTGCTCAACCTCAAAGTATTGCAGACAGACATAAAAACCTAGTATATCCGTGTATAGGCTCACACCGGAAGGCAGAGCTGAAGCTAGGGTCGAGTGCTGGGTCGGCAAGTCGGGCTCCCTATCGCTGTTACTATGAGCACGAAAATGCAGTGGTGACCATTCACTAATAATGTCTGTATAAAACGAATACATCTTTTATTTGTATACACACATATTTACAATGTTTCATAGTGCTTTTAGCGGGGCGTGAAGCCCAAAAATCGTGCACTGACGCTACCCTAGCGAGTTGGCCTATCGAGCGGATGCAGCGCTCCAGAGAATTACTCAATCCACAGTTTCATTCTAGCCGTAGTTTTGGAATGTCGGCTTTATCGGATAGTTGCGAGCAAAGCAAGCTTGATGCTCTTTTGGTGATGATGAACTTGATGCTCTTTACTAATTCGAAGTAGTTTTAATTTTACTGTTGGTTGTTTTGGCTGCTTTCGAATGGTGTCGTATCCTTCAACAAGGAGCAGCCCCATTGCTAATTACTTGCTAATAGCATAAGTCCGAATCACTTTATTTCTTCACAATAATTGTCTGATATGTGCCACCACCCTGTATCACGTTCAACGACACTGGAAATATGAAGTTTCCTTCATCCTCGTTGCCCTCCTACATTCTTCAATCCAAAACATAAAGCGTAAAGCCAAGCCACATGTCATCGCCCCCATTGAGCAAATCTACTCGCTACAAGCGCGCCACCACTTTCTTCCTCGACTCGCTGCTGCGTGCTCGTGTTCGAGGGTGTCACGGAGGCAAAAGTGTGAACTTGAAGACGCTTAGCACCATAGTAGTAAAGGTCGCGCGGGACCCCTAGATTCTGACTCCCCAGCTACCGCTAGACTACTCAAAGCCCTTGCGGCCTGTCAGTGTGCTATCGCACTCAGAGAACACGCGGATACGTTCTTCACAGACGACGACCATGGTAACCAACACTTTTTAATGCAGCTCAAGAGTTGGCATGATATTCTAGTGAATTTGATAGTAAAGATGGATACTGCGGTGGAAATTGCTGATAACACTTAAGTTGACAATTATTACGAGGTGTTGGAGGTGGACAAAGGCTATTTTCAAGACGAGGAAGCCTATGTAACGGATGCACCAAAGAAAACGAAAATCGATGGAGAACGTCTCTTTGAAGAGGCCTTTAGGGATGAATTGAGGCTGGAGGGGAGGCTACTTTTTCATGGAACTGGACGAATTTGAGGGAAATGTTTATGTTGACATGAAGAGGATGAAGGGTAGGATGGTGGAGGCAACGGTAGTAGTGAAGCTGACCATTGATGCTGGGGTGCGGATTTTTATCAAGCAATTCTCAGATGGAAACCAAACAGTTATATTTTTCGGACGTTTCTCAAGCAAGTGAAAACAATTATAGAACAGCAGTCAGAGCAAATCCTAAAAATATCTTCTGTTGTTGGACATTGGTCGTTTTTCAAACTTCAAATAAGACACTAGCGACCTCAACGAACATCGTGGCGATGAGTTCCTCGTCAAGTAGCGACGATAGCTGCGACAGCTGCAACAGCGACGACGGATACGGAAGCTACGACACCACAGATGAATTGGATTTAGGGCATCTATTCGACAGTGACGACGACTGCGACGACGAGGAGGAAATTGTAGATCTGGGAACGTTCGACTCAAAGAAAGCGGCAAGGCTGCATGCAGATCGTGCTCAGAACGTAAAATACCGATTTTTGACGAACAGTACCAGCACACTTCGTAAGACCTATCAGTGGAATTTGACGAGGACTCCATCAATCACGAGATAACCGATGTAGTTGCGGTTTACTTCAACGCTAGAGCATTCATGATGAATGCTGGAAATGAAGACTGTACACCAGTCACGGATGACCGAGTGATAGAGTACAAAAGGTCGCTAATTGAAAAATTGGCTAGAAATATTACTCTATCTGAAGTTCTGCTGGTTTGTCTCCGGGTACAAATTAAAAATCGACTTGAGATAATTGGAGCTTTTGAAGAGTGCACGTGGTCGTTAGAGACAATTGAGGGGTTCGCAACAAATTCGAGTGTGATTGCAAAGCATTCTATTCTTCAGGCTGGCTGTGCGCGCACGTAGTAGCCTGCTTCCATTTATTGCAGAACGTGGATATCAGCTCAATGCTAGAGGAATTAGCTCCAAGGAAAGTGCCCGGCAGACCCAGGAAAAGGACCAAAGCTCACCATAGTGAATCGGGTGCCCCAATCACATTCTCGGTGGCAAAATTGGTACCCAAATTTCTAAAACACCCAGGTACACCGTTGAAGTGGAATCTTTTGAAACCCTTTGTGCCAAACCAAAGCAAAGGTTTGGAGGAAAACGTGCCTGGTCAAGTGAAGTCGTACGCACTCGACGGTAGAGTTTACGTGTGGCGATGTGAATTCGAACACGGTGCGACTGAATATTTAGAAGTGGAGGAACTTGCACACTGCATTGAAAAGGCAGCACTAGCTAACTACACAATTATTCCATCAACATGAAGTACTGAAAATTAAATTATTTAAGTACATTATTTAAGAAAATATACACGATTACAATAGTAGTAGTTTTAAATACCGTAATTCAGTATGATTATTTAGTATATAACCGAATTGCTTGAAAAAGGTCTGCCGATTTGCCAATTGCCAAAATTGCTTGGAAAAAATCTTTTCCCTTGATGCTGCCAGTGCGTTAACAACGCAGCTTGGATTGAAATATCCGTCGTTTACAACAGCAAAAACCTTGTTTAATATCGTGAACCACGCGTTCTCGGAGTCTTTCAAACGTACATTGTTAGACATTAACAACAATTTCTCGACGAACTCAAGGAATCCGAAATATTCGACGAACTCAAGGAATCCGAAAAAACCGGTGAAGTCGGCGATACGACGGGGATAATCTCCCCCGATAAAAAAAAAACAGTATCAATCGGAATATCTTGAGCAATTTGTCGAAATGGAACTACGAGATCCCTCTCGTGTTTCCTCTTGGTGTAGGTACAAAATTCACTACGGTACACTGCATCGACGTTAGCAGGTTTTAACCGCAAGCTAAGCAGCTAGTTGCGATAGTAAGAGCCATGTATCGTCGCTTCTTGGAACGGACTGAAGACCTCTTCGCTGGATATCTCCAACATGCCGTCGAACATAGGGATATGTTGCAAGTAGCCTTCATTAATGAGAGGTGTCCGAAAAATCGAAACTTCGACCCAGCCAGAAGCATCTTGTGCGCCATTTGCATATACAATAGTGATGATCCAGGATCATCAGGCCAGCGAACAAGAGGTTCGCACGCGCCAAATAACGAATATTAGCGGAATACTTACGGTTTGCCGCAAATCGCTGCAAAAATGTATCGGTACTCTCGCGCACATTGCAAATTGTCCCCTTTACCACTGTGAACTCGGCGCTTCTCATCAACTGTGCCGAGTGCTTAAAAACTGATGTTGCGACCCAGCCCTGCGTCTCCTTGCAAAGCAGTCACCGACTTCATCCAGCAGATCCACGTATATATCATTGGAATTGTCACCTCTCTAGTTGCCAAGAACTTTTCTATCACGGTCGTGAATGAATTCATCAGTGTTATCGGATCAAATGTTGGCCCTCTCAAGGCCTTCAGGCTGACTAAACTCTTGCATAGAAGCAGAAAAGCATTGCTATTCACAGGGTCCGGAATCAAGACTATGTCTGGTGTTCGCCCCTCGCCATTAGTATCATCAAGTATTTACGACAAGTCCGGCTTAAGGGGTGAATCTTGGCCTGCTGTACAAAAAAAACGCAGTACAGACTTGTTTCCTCGGAGCTGTTTGAATCACGCGTGCATCCACGATATCCGCTGAGATTGAACGATGATATCGTGGAGATATTTAATGAAATATGTCGATTATTGGAACAGAACGATTCGTATAATATATCTATTACTAGAGCACAGCAGGATCGTAACCAAGCCGCAGATAGAGCGGCAATCTTCACGTTGGAACGACTCGATACGAAGGGGCCGTTCACGATTTGGTGGCATGACCGGAAGTTCTATCATTTTTTAGACTATGTGCAGGTCAATTACAGCTGTGATCAGCCCTCGATTCTAGGTTTCTGACGTTTGTGGTGAGGAGAAGTACTTTACACTCCCACCGCAACCAGATCTCGTCACCCAAGAATACGGTTCGGCATCATTCTGGAAGCTGACGACGAACGAGAATCGCGAGCAAGTATTCACTGACTTGATGGAGGTACTGGGAGGGAGTGGTGGCCCGATTTTTGGATAAGAATTGAGCCACTTACTTAAAGAAGGAATCAAACAGGATCACATGCTATTGGCGGTGCCAAAGGACATTGATACATCGGCGGGGTATAATGACCTCTTCACACTTTTACATCAAGCCTCCGCTGGCCCTGCACATGACTGCGAACTGGCAGAATGAATGACTCAGATGGGGCGTTGTTTAATCAGCCTCTGCACTGCCGCAAGAAAAGTTTTGCTTGTTCACGAGAAGTTTGCCGAATACTATGGCTGGCCACAGTGTCGCCATTGCAGGAGATGAGGTCAACGTTTTACTTCTGCCCCAAGCGGACCGCATGGTGGACTTGAACACGCCAACTTTCCACTTCAAGGAAACACTTTCGCATTTGGCAGTTAAAAACTATCATCAAGGCTAGTTCAATAATCTCGCTTGATTTGACGCTAATCAGGGTATTAAAAGCGGCGACGGAAGACGCGTGTGTGATGTGACCGATGATGAAGATTGGGCACGTGAAATTGCTTCGTCCGTGTTAAAATCGAAGTCAAACCGGACAAGACGCTAGGAAGCGTAACACTGGCTTAGATTCCCATTGTTTTGACCAACGAGACAGTCTCCTATCACGTTGTAAGAACTAACAACAGGAACAGCTAAAAACGCAAAAAGAGTACCACGAAAGAAGAAACGATCATTGCTACCGCTGCAGAACTCACCCATGTATACTCGAAATGAGGAGAAGTTACGTTTACTAATGAGTCTTTTGGTCTCAACTGGCCTCGACTTTAAGCAAAGGTTAATCCTGCGAGTGTAACAACACTGGAAAGCTTGTTCACCACCACTTTGGCGGCACTTTTGGCTCGTCTAAGGGATCCAACCATTCATTTCAGTCTCAAAACTGACGATGTTCAACATGCATGCAAGGTCGTTGAAAAGCTAATGGAGTATGTCGAGCAGTTCACGGATCCAAGTAGGATCAACTTCACGCGTCCCAAACAGCAAAGTACCATTGACTCTGCAGCCGCATAAATCATTCGCCTGACGCAGAGGTTCTATCGCGTTGATCACGCTGCAGTCGCAGGCCCCAAACTTGCCCCCATTCAAGAACTTTGCGCTTTACCTTTGCCGTATACAAAGTTTGTCGTCAGTACAGAGCAACTATGTATTTCGGTCGACAGGTATGGGAGATATTGGGAGCCCTAGACAAGAGTTTGCTGGAGATACCATATGCAAGGAGAAAGATCTGCGGATTTCGAGAGCTAGTGCAAACGTACTCTATGGCTCAGGATGGGATGGGCTTAGGACAAATATCAAGCTCTGACACGTTTCGCCGTCTCGAATGGAATTTGACGAGCGCTGTGGACGGCTACCAGTTACGGTTAACCCTGGATAACTTGGCTGGACACATTTTTTACTTCGACCTCCGTCCGTCTGGTGAAACTAGCGAGCACCAATTCCAGCTTTCGAAAGTTGCAATTGCTGCGGTACCTGAACTCAATGATGTTGCATGCCTCGACAAGAATGGCATACGTATCGTCTACGGCGGTCCCAGTAAAGCTGATTTAGCAAAACCTCATTGTGCCATAATCAGTGTTGTCCATGACGTGGGCGTACAGCTTGACGAACACAGATCCTAACCTTGCACCTAGTGTAGGGCGTTTACTTGCTAGTAAATTTACTACACTCTAACTAACTGTAGGTTCTATGTTAGCTGGCTGTAAGTGCTGGTGTCAGTCAGTACCCATAATTGAATTATCCGGCTTATATTGCAATACTATTTGATTAAACTATGCCACCTACTGCAAAAAACGATAAACTCACTCTCGGGCCAAGCGGAATTTAGCTCATCTTCTTCGAATTCTCTGATGGTATCGGGTGGAGTGTGTCGTTCAAGGTTCCAAGAAGGGACCCCCACCTTATCCATTTGACGAGATATTGTCGTTCCATATCTACTATTTTCATCGCGTATATGCTTTCAACAGGAAAAAGTCCTTCATCGTCACTTGATACTGGAATTTTGGCCTCGCTGTCAGTTCAGGGGGTGTGGGCTCTAAAACAGAGATCCCTGGGGTAGGGCTTATACATGTATCGCCGTTGCTACCTACAGGAGTTTGACCACCCATCACTAACAAACGTGTTAGCGGAAGGTCCGGCTATAAAATTCTGACCAAGGTCCCACAGCTAGGTATAATGCATCGGGTCATTTAAGTTTTCTGGTGCTGGGATCTTTCTGAGGGAGAAGATACTTGAAAACTAGTTGGTTTGGTGCTTCCTTTGAAAATGTTGTTAGTCTTCCACATTTCCTTCTGACTGACACTCATTTTTTTATTGTTACTGTTTTTCCTTAACAGAGTCTATCTCCATAAAATTCAGAATGAGAATTTTGCCACAATACCCTGAGAATACTGGTATCGAACACGAACCCAGAAATAGCTCGAGGGAAACATGTTTGGTTTTGATCACTCTAGTGTATTTTGCGATAGGGCAATTTCAACTGGTGACCTAGAAAACCAATTCTATTGTTTTTTTTCAGCTTTCACCCAACGATGCCAAACAATGCATAATATATATAATAACCCCATTGCTGAATATCTAACAATTCATGGACCTTTCTCTGCAAGAGATGATAAAGCTCGAGTTTGATAGCCCGGTTTGAATGTTGCCTAGCCGAACTTATCGTAGAATGGAAGTTTTGCACCATTGGTCACGAACCACGAGGCAAATCGAAACAGCGCCACAAACGTGTTGTAGTGCAGAGTCTGCACTGCAGACCCGCCTTCAGTACTAACAGCTGTAGTTGCCACCATGAAGCTACCACCCGAATCTGTGAAGACAACATTTAGGAGCATCAGATAAAGAAACAAAACATTGTGCGCGGCCTCATTAACTTTTATGGGAACTAGCTACAGATTTCTCCAAAAACTGCCTCGATATTACGTATTTTTAAAACAATCGGCTGGGAAAGAGTAGTGTGCCCACCTCTGACTAACTCTAGCTCGAAGGTACTAAAATTACAAGGTATTATGAGTAGATTACTGAAGCTACCTTTAATTAATCTTGCTTGGATTGTATTAATAGTTCTAAAGAATGCAAGATCCCTCGCCTTCCTTTATTCATTTGCCGTCTGGTCCCTATTATAAAATTATACGGGGAAATCGAAAAATCCTCAATTAATGAGGCCTAAAGAAATACGTAGTATTATTGAATGATCGTACCCATTCAGTCAATAATAGAGTAGTTTTCATTCAACATTTTATTTTGCCATTTCAACACGTAAGTAAGAAGGTGATACATCACTTTGATAATACAAAGAACGATGAACGGCGCGATGCCTTACCGCACCACTCGTCAATTTGCAGCTAATTGAGTTGGGACCTCGATCTCACCGAAGTTGCAAGGCATGTCGTCATTTCCAGTGGGCAAATACGCGCGGTACAAGCGCGCCACCGCCTACTTTCTTGGTTGGCTGGTGCGTGCCGGAAGCAGAGATGGAGATGGCAAACACTTTCAGCTCGACACATTCGACGTCGTAGTCAATGAAATTGCAGCGGGTCGGTCGACACTCACAAATAAGCTTCTGCAAGAGCTTCCAAGGGCACTCACAGCTTGCCAATGTGCAATTCATTTGCGTGAACATGTGGCCTCCTTCTTCCCTGAACACGATGAAGGGCAGGCTGGTCACCAGCATTTCGTACAACAACTGCGGAACTGGCATAAAATATTGAAAGGGGCAGCGGTGGGTCGACCACAGACTGCACTGCAGTCGGAAAGTCCCGATTGCGATAATTATTATGAAGTGCTGGATGTAGATGACGACTACTTACCAGATGAAGACTCGTACTTGGCGAAAGGTGGGCTTCCCAAGACTACGACCTTTGATAGGAATCGTCTGCTTGAGGAGGCGTTTGCAAATGAAATGAAGATGGAAGTGGTATGCTTTTTTACGGAACTGGACGAATTGATGCAAGGTGTATGCAAAGTTTACGGCGAAGTGAAGCGTGAGGAACGCACGTTGATTGAAGCAACAGTGGTGGCGAAGCTGGCAGTGGATTCCGCCAGTGCGCTCACAGCGCAACTGCAACTAAAGTATCCGGCATTTCGCACAAGTGAAGACGTGTACAACGTCGTCCGAAATATTGATCCGGACAAATTTAGGCAACGAATGGCAACGATTCATACAAAATACCTGACGGATCTACAGGATTCTCTGCTCAATGGTGACGAAGCGATACCTTACATAACTGGGATGTTTCTGGTTGATTTCCTGAGTGTGGGTACTACCTTAGCCAGTTTTCTTACTGCTCTCCCCATGGATTCAACCAAGAGTATAAAGTTTCCCACTGGATGTTTCGGTGAAGTCTACAACGAAGACCGAACACCACACTACGTTCTGCTACCGGATCCCAGCAAAACCAACGTCTTCCTGTTGCAGCAGCTACCGCTCCTTCATAAGACAATAATGGAGAAGAAAATCACTACTGGATCCGCATATGATTCGTCTGCACCTATGGACTCATTCATGCTGCTAATGGAGAAATACTTCACCACCCGAGAGGTAACAGTTCCATTGGTGTTTGCGTGCATCTGTTGGATGAAGTCGGTTGCAGCACTACAAGGGGATACAGGTCTAGGACGCAACGCTAGTCTGACTTTCCAGCACTCGACAAAGCTGATGAGAAAGATCGAAGCCACAGTGGCAACTGGTTCAGTACGAAAGGCTCACAAGAAATCCAACGACGTGCTTCAACTCTGTGCAGACGAGATTAAAAGATCATCCGGGCTTCGCTACTTGTCACGTGCGAATCCGTTGCTAGCAGGTCTCACGATGCTGGACCATCACTTTAAGTATTTGCACATGGCAAGTGAAATTTTACTGGTAACGTCGAGATTTCGATCTTTCGGCCACGTGTATAATGCACTTGTGAAAGAAGGGTTTCTCGACCACATCCCGTTCTTGGACGATATACTGGAAGTCTACAGCGAGATGATCTTCACGCCGTCTAGAGGTGCAGCCAAGCGTGGCTCGTACTACCGAACTCTACTGCTCAGTGTGGACTTGAGATCATCCTCAGTCGATGCAGCGTGTCGTGGTGAAGATTTATCTGCTGGAAACGAAAACTTTAAGAAACGAAAAGTGTTTCATTTGAGTGACTTGTCCGAGACGTACAGGCTGATGGTCCAGAATGACAAATCGGGGTTAAAACATGCGTCGTGGGCGTCAATTCTGGATAGCGCTGCGAATATTTGTTCAAAAGAGATTTTTGATACTCGTGTGCTGTCACGCGATCTTCTGAAGCTGAATGACAAGCTCGCGAACGTGTACTCGGAGTTGTGTCGTGAGTTAAAGGGGGGAGAGCGGATCATTGAAGACGTCGTGTCTGATCAGAATCAGCACCAGCAGAAAGCCGAAGATGGGGTCATCATGGTTTTACTGCAGATTCTCGACACATTGCAGTCTAACGGCGGATATGGAGCTCCGGATTTGTGTAAACAAGCTGCTGCTGTGGTCAGAAAGGCATTCGTTACCTCGGCTATGGTTGTTGATGAAAAGTATTTTATACTTCCGTCTCAACCAGATCTTGTCACTCAAGAGTATGGCTATCAGTCATTCAAGTCGAGGGCGGCGGATTGCAACCGCGAGAAAGTCTTTGCAGAGCTTATGAGCATGCTTCGAAACAGCAATGGTCCACTTACTGGAAGTGATCTCAGCTACCTCAAGGCGAAGGTCAAGAAGGACCCTGAGCTATTGGAGAAGACTTCGACAGGCACGTGTACCTTGGAGAACGATACTAAAGATGGTGGTGGCCTGTGTACTTTATTCCATCAAGCTGCTGCAGGATCGGCACATGACGCTGAACTGGTGGAGTGGATGATCCAGATGGGAGTGTTGGCTCTTCAACCGACTCTCCACTGTCGATCGAAGGAAGTCACGTGTTCAAATGTACGTTTGCCCAATGCAATGGCTGTGCATAGTGCAGCGATGGCAGGATACGAGGATATCGTCCAGATTATTCTCGAAGCCGACCAGTTTGCGGACCTGAACACGCCAACTCTCCACACGAAAGAAACACTTGCGCATTTGGCGGTGAAGCATGGACATCGACGTTTGCTCAATATTCTCGTTTGGTTTGGAGCTGACCTTCTCGTTAGAGACGGGCGAGGAAGACGTGTGTGTGATATGGCGGAGGATGCGGATTGGGCTCGAGATATCGCTGCGTACACCGCCCAAAGTCACAGGAACATCTTCAACAGAACTGGGAACCGTGAGAGTGTTTTGCAGGAGAAAGAGCGAAGGCGTAAGTTAGCATCTGTTCGTCGCGATGAACAAGACTCAAATGTACCTGAACTCAGTATAACAAAGAAACCAAAGAAACGATCGAGCAAGAAGAAGACTAAAACTAGCAAGGGGAACACTGGGCAGACGACAATGCCTACTGGTACAACGAATTCTCTCTTCGAAACGAAGTCACATTTGTTGGAAGGCCTGCGCACATTACCACGCCCTAGTAGTAGTCGTTGCTGTTAAAGTCATGGGTTGCTATGAATACAGTTGCTATGAGTACAGAAGTTAGTGTTGAGTCGTTGATGATGCTTCCAACTTGCTCATTTGGCGATCGAATATCGGAAAATGTGTCGGACTCAATAGCCAACATCTATGATGCTGTTTTAAACTCTTCTCAAGATATCTACACATATTCTAGTTGACATTGATACCGACAGCGCCGTCACATGTAATTAGAACGTGCTTCAACACCGATGCCACATCCGCCAGACTCCCGAACACGCGCATCAACGGCGTCACCCAGTGCCTCTGCACGCGATAGTCGACATGTCGCGGTGTCCCACTCGAAACAGATAGAGTAGGGCACCTGAAGATGTTGCCCCAATAGCTTCGAGCGCAAGGGTCGATCTTCCAGATGCTGGAACACAGTCTTGAGCGTTGCCTCCGACACCGTCATGTTCAGCGTCGCAGTTACACTAACAAACCGATCGGTCGCACGCCATGCGAATCAGCTCAAGGCACAAGTTCTGGAAACTCGTCGAGTACTGTCGCCACTGATCCATGAGCGCCTCCACACCAGTACGCTCACCCAGGTTGACATCCTCCGTCATCGTGGATCGCAAGAAGGCAAGCTGCTGTTTAGTCTCTTCGTTTTCGATGCTGTTGTCCGCGATGTTGGCTTCTTCGATATCGGCAGGGGGCAGAGTCACCAGAACACCGAAGCGAAAGATGCGGAGGTACTTCACCACCGCGTTCCAGACGTCTTGCTGTCCGCCGTGGCGCAGTGCGGTGCGCTGCAACTCAAGGACAGGGATATCGGCGCGCAGCTTCAGGACTGATTCTTTGACCCACTTGGCGTGGTCGATTTGTTTCAGACGGTAACGGGCCTGGTTAGCTCGACACTGTTCGTGTCGTCGCTGAGTTTTGAGTCGAATACGCTTTTGTTTGGGCTGCGACTGATCGATGTCAAAGTCACGGAAGTGCTTTCTTGCGCGCGCGTTCGCCGAGTCTAGAGGACCGTCAGTGAATCGAGAGTTGATATTGTAGGATGAATTCAGGTGGTGCTCAGCTTGTGTGAGTTTAGCAGCGAGATATGATGATTGACTAGTACAGGATAGTGCGGGCCGCTGCATAGTAACGTCCGAGCGTGTGGTTCCGCGTTTCAAGGACCTGGCCAACTCGTTCTTCGTCGCAATATCGCGCTGGAAAACTGGTCGGACGATCTCGGAGCTCAGCTTCGGGTAGGCATGCATCGATCGTTGCGGTCTTGCAACGTTGGAAGCGGGATGTGCGTGCATGGTCTGCATTGTTGTTGGATGGCTTGCTGGTGTGTGGCTGAAGGTGATTTGAAGAATGAGAGTCACTTACCACTGATCACATGTGAGAAGGGAGCATCAAAATCGGGTTACGGAGCGAGATCAACCTCTGTGTTTACTGAAGCGATACGTTTAGATTTAATTACCTGCTATAGAAATAACTCTAGCCCGTAGGTTTGTTGGACAATGGAAACCTCTATGTTTACTGAGGCGATCGAAGAAATAATTGGTGATTGACCGTGTTTACGCTCGTTATTGGGCCTCTACAGATTTGGTGAGTCTAGGGTGAAGCGACAGGTGATTGTCGCCAGACGTTCTATCTGTCCGTAATGCAGCGTTCACACGTGACACAGACACACAAGCAAACAGAGCTCAACACTGGTAGATCACCCATAGTCGATAGACTTGCAAACGACGCGACAGCTTATACCTATGCAATTGAGAATGTTCGTGCTCTCTTGGATCAGTACATGATCCCTTCTTGGTTATCGTATCAGAGAATTACAGGCACACCAAGTCGGGCTCCGTGTAGACCTTTCTTTGTCGCCACAGCGCTTTGATTTGGGACTTTTAGACCCCCTCCGCGCCGTAATTGCACCGTAAGCGAGTTGCGCCTTCATGATCACAGATTTTGACGAAGGCAGAAAAATAAACCCCACTGGTTTCTAGAGAACTATATATCATTTTGAGACGAAATTTTATTAGTGACTCAGTTTAGGCTCGATTCGGCAAATCGAGTCGCTATGAAATAGACTAGAATTCTAGTGTTATGATTCTGACCTTACTCCTATCCCAAGAAGTCGAAGTTAAAAGAACACACCTGAGTTTCTTGCGGAGTGTCAAATTGTACGACACGATGCGGTCTGGTCCGAGCACCGTAGCCAGGCGATGGGCGATTGTTATCACCGTAGTGTCATTAAAATTCCGACTTGTCACTTCTGTTCGGTATCGTGATCAATCGAGGCAGTTGCTTCATCCATCACCACAATCCGACTGTGTTTAGCTGTACTTGAGCGATGCAAAGTAATTGCAGCCCTACAGGATGCTAAGTAGAAACTTGCCACCTTCATGTACCTACAGGCCAGCGGAATCACAAGTATCCCGAGAAAGTTCACCAAGTAAGCTTGCGATTACTAGCTGACATGCTGTGAGGTGTTTCTGAATGGTGTTTGCAAGGGGTCAAGTTAGTGCGTAGTGACAAGGGTTGGCATGAGAGTGCCAATCTTGCTAGTCAATATTAAATAGCAAGGTCAAGTTAATCTACCAGAAACATTTTAAGATATTACTTAAGTAAACATTTAAGATTTATTTAATTCGCTCCTCGGTCAGCGAATCCTGCAAGGAATTGATTGTGACAAGCTCAACAATCAGCACTACAGTTTTTTTTTTCTTTTTCCTCATCGATTCTACAGCACACATGAGACGCGTCGAGCAGATAATAGCCACATGCCCGACCACCTCCTTCCACGACCCGCCCTTCAAAAAGGTCATGGCGTTCAGCCTACTCAGTCGGAATATTTCGGAGACATCGCTCAAAATGAGCGAGCGCCTTATAGGCTTCACTTGCAGCAGGCAGTTCATCACCACGGGTTGTTGGCTTCGATCAAAACAAAGTCGTAGATTTAAGCTAATCAGATAAGTAGGATAGTAAGCGCCGTGTACCGCGGCAGCTCGAAAAGGAGTGTAGACTTCTTGGGTATAAACATCGTACACCTGCTCGAAAAACGGTATACGCTCCATGTATCCTTGCGCCAGTGCGTTTTACAGGTGACCAAATGCGCTGAATTTGGACGTGGCAAACATGACTTCGTTTACGATGTGCGAGTACAGGAACTGATGATTCAACGCCGTAAGACCCGTAAACAACGACTCGCACGCGCGGGGGGG